AAAAAGGCTTGACATTTCTCTTTGTGAGAATAGTCCAGGCTAGTGTGTTGGTGATTGCATGGGGTTTGACTGAGAACAACCTGGAAAGTAAAAGTCAACTAMGTAAGATACARGACTAATGTTTTTTGTGATCARAACAAAGGAAAGATGAAAAMTTTGATGAACGAACCCTTGTTTTGAATTGGTTGAATGCGTTGTGGACATGACATKCTTGTTGACGATGCTTTGTCTTTTTTGCTCAAGCTCTGTCTATTTTCTGCATAGTAGGGTAATCTGATAGTGCTCGCTTTATGCTTGAGCGATAGRTAGGTAGATGTTCATTCTTGTTTTCGTATGTCTTTTTCATGCATGATTGTTTTGGTAGGGCATTGGCTAACCTCTGAGTTAGTAGAAGTTCTGGGAGCCTTTTTTCCTTAGGGRAGGTGCTGCCAAAATTTCTGCTAAATACTCAAAGTTAGTCAAGCTTCARAGATGTCAATTAGGATAGGACATAATTTAGTCATTGGAGTTAGTAGGAATTTTGAAAGCCTTCCTTTCTAAAGGAAGTGTTGCCAAAATTTCTACTGAAACCAAAAAGTTGGTTTATTTTYAGATATTTTATGAATCTCGAGTTTTCTTTTTAGATTTTGTATAGTAAATATTCTGCGAGCACACTTCCCTAAAAGAAATGCTGCCAAAATTTTCGGGATTTTCACATCGTTACCAGACACTGCTGCTAAGTAGCCTATAGTGCGATACGGAGTTGAACTCCGTTAACCCGATAGGCGATGCCCGCTTTGATCTTTGTGACGCAGATCATTGCCATCTACGAGTGTTCCTCGAAGTCTTGAGCTTCATCAACTTCTGCTATCAAATTGATAGCAGGTCGRTTTGCGACTCAACTCCTACCCACTGTGATACCCACGTCCAGATGTCTATGACCCTGTAGGCGAAAGGCATTTTCGTATGAAAGAAAACCAACCCTTGGTACCTTTCTTGAATGGCCATCCAAAAGCTGTGCGAATCGGGACGGGCGGATATGCCTCTGTTGAATGGGGTCGGAAAGGGGCGTGTGGGACATGAATCTGGGAGAGGGTGATATGGGTGAATGAATGAWGGGTGTGAGTGACAAGGTTCAACTATGGCTGTGAGAATGACTCTCCCTGATTTCCCCCGAGACTCGCCCTTTTCGTTCTCTTATTTTACTCCTGTCGTATGCATCTAGCAAAYAGGCAGGAGTAGCACAGCGCAAGGTTTAGCGCTCGACCTTAGATCGGACAGAGACTTAGTTTGGGTACGACGAATCGCTCGCCAACCCGTGAGTACTTGTATTTTCCTTCCGCAGGGGAAGRACGAGCATACCCCGTCTCAAAAGGGGTCTTGCGTTTTTTAGATTATTAGTCGGACGTTGGTCCTGAACCAAGAATTCGAGGCCCTTGTCCAGAACATCCTAGGCTCTGGTCCAGCACAACAAGGTTTCCCCCTTGAGCCGGACCTGCGCCCCTTGCTTATCGTCACCCAATGCCTAAAAGACAGGGGCGCTGCAAGGGCCGAACGACTTATCCTTCAGCCGTGCAATATCGTGAAGGAGAAACCCTTCACAGCGCGTACCCCCTATGCAACAGCATACGAGAAACGCCCTCGGTTGGGCCACCTCCACGATTGCAAAAAAACTTTCGCGTGTGGTTCAGTAGCTCGGCGGGGATACGCCCACCCAAGGGATGGTGACAACTCCCACGGGTGAAGGTAAGTTGTAGCTCGCGAGACCCTGTCCTGTCGTAGGGACTCAATGGAGGTATAGTTGGCGCACTCGGCCGGAGCGGCTCCGCCGCTTCCCTTTTCGTGAAGCGACTAGCGAATACTGCCAATCCTGCGTGACGCGGCCRGGAAGGTTCCCCCAGCGGGGACCGTGCGCTCGACAGGTGGCGCCGTTGCCGGGGATCTCGGCTGCCTACCGAGGTCCATAGTGAACGGACTTGGGTTTTAGTGCAGAACGATGATCCAGGCAAAACGACACTTTTCTTTTTTTGTGATTAGAGAAATGATATAGTGTGTTTTTGACTTTGATATTGCCGTTACGACCTACGGGAATGTCCCTATGAATCCCATCAGACCCAAAAGAGGGGCCTCGCTGTCATAATCAGGAACGCCAAGTATTAAGACTTGGCGTGAAGTGAGCGAATTCATAGTATGATTGTATGATGGTGTGACTGCCTGTGAATGARTGTTGGACATTTAAATTAAATAGTAGGACACAACCTCTTAAGGTTAAGGTTGGACTAGCTATAAGGGCTTGCTAAAGTAATTAGGTTGACCATGTATAAGTGTTGTATATTGACAGGGAGCTGATTGTCGAAGAACGAGATGGCGGGCGATGAACTCAATCAGGCCGATGGCGCGGGCCAGCGGTCGRTTACGTTGGGTCAGCTGGTTGCTCTACTGGATCGGCGCGCGGTGACGCGATCCAACATCCCGAAGGTTYCGATCTTCCACTTCAAAGGAGATAAGGTGTCAGAGTGGCTTGAGTTGCTCGAGCAAATTACTGACGAGATGACAKAAGAAGAAAAATCCCGTCAAATCTCTAAGTACGTCTGGTGGGAGATGCGGCYGGAAGTTATGCGGGTAGCAACTGAGGCCGCAGGAAATTGGGGGAACTTTAAGGCAGAAATGCAGAGGCGGTATCAGTTGGGAGATGGCCTCCTTACAACGGAGGACTTGGAAAGGCTAGAGAGGTCYGATTTCACGACGGTGGGTGCCTTCGCGACGGCGTTCGAGAAGATGGCGAGGAAGGTTCCAGGGTTGGCCGAGGAGTCCCAATGTGCCATCTTCCTAAGCAACTTCACGGAATGCGAGAGTATTTCCCTGACCAGAAGAGGGGCCATAGGGAGGAAGTTTACTTGGGAAACGGTGAAGCAAAGCTTGGCAGATGGGGAGTTGGACCAGGTATACCAGTTTCATATGATAACAACAACGGCAGAAGCGAAAGGCTCGAGTTGTCACTGAAGGAGCAGGTATCAACGTTCAACAGCTTATTGCGGATGGAATAGCCAAGTACCAAGCCGACCGACAGAAGGCGGCAGGGAAACAGGTTTAGTGACTTAGACTCAGGCAAAAGCTGCGAAGAAGGTGGTGTACCAGGTGGAAGATGATGATGACGATGAGGAAGAAGAACCGGTGAAGCTGACAAAAAGTCAGAGAAAGGCGAGGAACCAGGCCTTAGGTGGTCAAGGTTCGGGGAAGAATACAGGAGTACAAGTCGTCRCGCCAGCCCAAGTAAATGCCAATCAGGCAAGCACGAGTGCAGCGCCACCACAGGGACCAGCGCCGGTTGGACCTTGGTCAGGGACCATTCCTCCAATTTGGCCGGGGTATAGTCCATATGGCCCATGGCCGTTTTACAACCAAGTCGGGCCGTCTGTGGGAGGACCGACTGTRCATGTTGCAGGAGGATACCCCAATACGCCGGCTCAAGGAGTGAACTGGCAAGGGGGGGGCCAACCGCAGCAGCAAGCMCCCCCGCCTCAAGTCAACCAACCCGGTCAAGCAGAGGGTCAAGGACAAGGTCAGAAACAAGGAGGTAACGGGCAGAGCAGTCAGGGCCGAGGCAATGGAGGTCGCGGACGGGGTAACGGTAATGGTGTACAAGGCGGTCAAGGGGGCGGACGTGGAGTCAATTGGAATGGGCAAGGCGGGAATGATAGGCCAAGGTTCGATTGGAGAAATTTCATTTGCCATCATTGCGCACTAAAAGGGCATACCTTCAGGTTTTGCCAAATTCGGAAAGTAGATGAGGGAAATGGCCTYATCTCGACAAACATGGACGGAGATGTCTGTGATAAGTATGGGAAATATATTGACCCTAAGATTGCAGGTGGTATGCGCAGGGAGGCGCTTCGTCGAGCCGAACTAGGTCCGCCACCACCGGCCATGTTCCGACTCTGGCAAGAGGAAGATGTCAGGTCAACGATAAAAGTGGAGGAACTGGCCAATAGTGAGTCCAAARAGGATATCAGGAGGGAAGAGTCAGTCGTGATAGATGAGGAGGAGGAAGAAGAATCGTATTGCCAAGGAAGGGCTATCGACACCATGGAGCGAATGGAAGACCTCGTAGAGAAGATGCAGAGGTTGAATTTGAAAATGAGGTATATTTGCGACGAGGTGGCGAAATCGATGGTTTACTTACTATGCTCAGAGACGGGGCCATCGAGTGTCAAACCGGCTTGTCAGACCTTGGGATCAACCCCGCGATCAGGCATTACATTCCAACCTCCTCGAGGGCAACCCACATTCCCGCAAGCAGTATGCACGAGGAGTAAGAAAGGAGATCCCAGTAGCAGTCAGGAACCTCCGAGCGAAAGTCAGTCACGGGAGAAGGAGTTAGTTATCGAAGTGGGGGACGAAGGCAAGGAGGATGAGGAAGATGAGCGGCTAAGGAAAGAAGAGGAAGAGCAAGCTGCTCAACGCGCAAAGAAGAGAAAGCCGGGAGATAGGCCAGAAAGAGCGGCAAAAGGAGAAGGCTCGCGGAAGCAAAAATATGCGGTACCATTGAAAGATGGCCTGGATATTGAAGCCTTGGTTKATAGGCTTCTGGACGGGCATAATGACCTGCTTAACTTGAAGGATATCCTCGCCTCTGCGCGTAAGCTTAGGGAAGGATTCAAAACGCGGCTCTCTCGTCGAAGGGTGGCAAGCGTGCGATTGGGAGATTTCATTCCAGCAGAAGCTCACTGGGCGGTTTCTGGGACAAAGATGGATTGGAAATCGGTWGGGACCGGGAGCGTGAACTTGAATATAAAGGGTAAGCTATGTAGTGGGATGCTGGACACAGGAGCGGAGATGAATATCATCAAGGAATCTGACGCACTCCGCTTAGGAATGAAGATTGATCGAGTGGACTCAGGCTTCCTCTATGGCGCAAGCGGGAAGACTCCTTTTACTGGGACGACGTCGAATGTGRTGATTGAAATCGGGAAAGTGAAGGTGCGGTCCTGCTTCTTCGTTATGCCCGATTTGGACCATCCTCTCCTGCTGGGAAGGTCATTTCTTCGCCGCACTGAATCAATGATACTTAACAAGCATGACGACACAATGTACGTCATCCTAAGTGATCCAGTTTGCGGCAACTACGAGATTATCACCTGTCACAATACAGGGCCTCGTAGCTTGAGGAATAGGCCAAACCCAGGTTCCTATACCTTTGAGGAATCTGAAGGGRAGAGGAGGAGATTAACGGGCGAAGACGAAGAGGAATGTAAGCCTACTGGCGAGATGTGCTTAAGCCTAACCAGCATTAACGACGCAATGAAGATAGTGTCGTCATATGGGATGGCGAATCCCATTGCTGTACAGGCTTTGAGAAAGAGAATAGTGGAAGATTCCGGCGAGGGAGAAGTGAAGCTCGTGTATCGGTTGTCGTCAAGGACAGGAGAACCACGGGTACCCCAGAGCCGTTCTGCAAGTCAGCCTTTTTTAGGGGCGGGCTTAAGCAGGGCTCCAAAAGGAGGTACAAGCGCGTGACTGAGAAGAGTCACCCCGTTCCTGTCCTCATAACTGCGGAAGAAGAGTTCTACTATGAACAGGAAAAAAGGAGGATGCAGAACATGGGCCGTGCCGTATCAATGAGAGGACTGAGGGAGACCTGATAATAGGAGAGTCAGGATTCCTCACGCCACAAGAGAAGGCCCTTGTGGTAGAGGTAATGAAGGAGCGGCATCGCGCATATGCGTTTGACGATGATGAACGCGGGCGCCTTGATATGGATAAAGTTTCGATGATTCGGATCCACACTGTGCCTCATGYACCATGGAACTTGCGAGGGCCACGCTATCCCAATCTGGCAGAGGAACGGAGAGTAGTCGACTACTTGGATGACAAGATTCATTCTCATGTAGCCGACTGCTCAAGTGGGCCTTACGCATCGCCATAGTTTTGCTTTATCAAGCCAAACGGTACCCTGAGGTGGGTACAAGACCTTCAACGCCTGAATACAGTAACGATACGAGATGCGGGAGGTTTGCCGAACGCAGATGCGCTGTCAGAATCCTGTACCGGATGGCCTATCATTTCCTTGATAGACCTGTACTCGGCGTACGATCAGTTCCCGGTGTATCCGCCTGACAGGCCTATGAGTACGATGCACACACCAAGGGGGCTGATCCATATGAACGTGGCGCCACAAGGGTGGACGAAGCGATTTGACCGTGAAAGAGCGGAAGAAGAAGGATGAGATGGAAGTTATGCCTGGGGTAAGAAAATTCGTCTGGGATCATATACAAGATATTGCTTGGATTCTTGACATTMTGAGGGATTACAACCTTACCGCGAGCGGACTGAAGTCGAAACACTGTATGCKGGAGGCAACCATATTAGGCTTCGTATGTAACGAGAGCGGTCGTCGCCCTGACATCAAGAAAACTAACAAGATACTCGAATGGCCGGTGCCATTCGAATCTGTTAGTGAAATTCGTAGCTTCCTGGGGACATGTGGCTTTTGGCGAGTTTTCATCAAAAACTTCGCTGAGAAGACAGAGCRGTTGAGGAAGCTTGTCAGGAAGGATGAAGAATGGGAATGGGATGAGAAGCAGGAAGGAGTTGTAAGTAGTTTGAAAAGGGAGTTCAGAGAAGGTGGTCTGGTATTGGGAGTTCCTGACTTCGAAGCAACGCCAAAACATCCTTTCATCATAGAGACCGATGCAGGRCCTACAGCTCTGGGCGGCATTCTGATCCAAGCTGATGTAAATGGCGAGGAGAGGCCTTTGAGGTTCGAGAGTCGAATCTTGAATGGCACTGAGAGAAACTACTCACAGTTCAAGCGGGRGACACTTGCAGTTCTCCACTGTCTAAGGGTGTTCCTCAACTACCTTTTCGGAAGGAGGTTTGTGCTGAGAGTCGATCCGAACTCAAAGTCAAACATCCACACATACGTGAGCCATCTGACAATAGTTGGGTATGACGGTGCGTAGTTCTTCAATTGGGATAAGTTCGACGATGGAGCTAATGAGGATATACCTCCGGTAGATGCATTCCTCGATGAAGAGGAAGATGTGAAGCTCCACATCAATGCGCATGCCGTTGGGGTCAGTGGAATCATTGTGCAAGGGCAATCTGCTTTTCTTGCTTCTGCCAGGTACGTAAAGCGAGCAGATATAGTCCTCAAGGACTTCGTGGAGGAGGATCCTTGGRGAGGGAAGGAGGTTGAGTGGATGGCAAAACTTGCATTGACTGAGACCTTCCCGTTAGGAGAAAATCCATTGGTCATTGAGAGTGGAGCCCACTCACTCGACACGCACGCGAAGTACGTGGCGGATGTCAGTTTCCTTGTCAACTCAATTGTCCAAGTGCACAAGGATGGAGAAGGGAGTCGAGACCCTGTGAGAGATATGGAAGAGGATGAGTTCGAGGAAGGAGAGATCAGGGAGAGAGAGGCAACTAAGAAGGTACTCGAGATGCGACCTCGTTTTTTAGTCCGGGATGGACACCTTTTTATCAAAAACGAGGTTGG